AGGGTAGTTACAGTTATATATCTATCACTAGTAGGACACTTCATTTAAAATATCAAGCACAGGGTACTTAGTTATATATCTATCACTAGTAGGACACTTCATTTACAATATCAAGCACAGGGTTGTTACAGTTATATATCTATCACTAGTAGGACACTTTATTTACAATATCAAGCACAGGGTTGTTACAGTTATATATCTATCACTAGTAGGACACTTCATTTCACAGGGTACTTAGTTATATATCTATCACTAGTAGGACACTTCATTTACAATATCAAGCACAGGGTTGTTACAGTTATATATCTATCACTAGTAGGACACTTTATTTACAATATCAAGCACAGGGTTGGAGTTATATATCTATCACTAGTAGGACACTTCATTTACAATATCAAGCACAGGGTTGTTACAGTTATATATATATCACTAGTAGGACACTTCATTTAAAATATTGTTACAACAGTAGAAGCCACGTGACGTTGGTAACATGTAATGATTATCTAGTAGGTTCGCGAAAAAGTGCTAGTGCGTACTATGCACGTGTTTGTGCTCAGACAGTGGAAGTAAGTGATGCTGGTAGCATGTGATGAGTGTCTAGAAGATTCTCAAAGAGACTACGTGGGCGTTATTATCGTATATAAGTGCGCTAGACAAGAAAGAGAGAGAGAGGGTGGGGAACCAAGGACAGCAGTTACGGTCGGTGGGAACCGAGGATAGCAGATACAGAGATCGGAACTATAGTAAAGTGAGTGAATTGTTGTGAATTATAGCGTGTGTTTAAGTTAAAGTAACTGTAGAAATTAAGTGTATTGCAAAGTTGTATTGAGGAAGAATAAACTAGTTTTATTTAAGAAAGGACTTGTATCGCAGAAAAATTAACAAACGAACATACAGAGATGTAACAATATCAAGCAAAAAAAAGCAGTCACAGGATATGACAATGTAACTATTAAGAAAGCATTGGTTTGGGATATCCAGCAAAGAGATAACAATAAAATAATAGGGTAATGTATATACAATGAAAACGTTACTTATACGTGATTAAAAGACCAGCTCAGCGAGACAAGATATAGATCATTTATTCATTATGTAAAATGTAGTTGGATTTTTGACCAAGGAACCAAGAGAGTGAAAACACATCAGTTGTTAGACACTAGTAAACTTATTAATTAAGTATAATCATGGTCTTTAAACATATCAATCACACTTATTAGATAAGCCAAATGTTTCCTACTTTCATTAACTGGACTTATTTAAATGAACAAAGACATCCTGCCTTCATATCAGAACTTCGTTATAACACTGACTGCTATTAGCCGTATTCATCAGATGATCACAACTTCTTTCTTCGTATCAACAGGATCCATCAAATACATCAATGTTCTTAAACATTCATCATTCCAAAAATCAATCTCATCGTTATATATGTCCACATTTTTTTAGTTTCATCCTCCCTGACTTCAATCTGACTCAAGGGTAGTTTATAGACAACGATTTGAACTGAAATACACACACACAGAAGGTTGAGGCTACTAATACTCTGTTTTAGTTAAGATATATTTGATTATATCTGAAGGGGTTTGTATTTGTCCACCATATGCAACAAATGAGCCTTTATCTTTTGTTCTTGTTCTATTTACAAAAAACGTTAACTTGGCAGATTTCTTTCTTTTAAGAATCGGATATGAGCCATCAGTTACTCTTTATAATAAAAGTTAATATTGTACTCTTGTTTTAAGACTCAGATACAAACTTTCATATTCATTTTCATGTTCTCTTTGATATGTTTCTTAGCTAAGCCTGTCGTGGGAGATCAAGCGTTTTAATAAGAAGTCCTTCTGGGATATCTTACGCGTGTTAACCTCTGTAGACATGCAAAATAAAATACTTCGAAATAAAAGTAACGAACTATTTCCTTCAGAAATGTAATTTCATTCATTACGTTTCAATCTTTCCTGGTTCTGTCTAGGGAGCGTATCAAACTGTACAAGAAACCCTGTAAGTAACTTATTTCTGTAGTGCAGCGGTGCATAATATTTATCTCGATGTTAATTTTGTGGCAAAGAAAAGAACCAATGAAAAACAAACAACATGTACTTGTTTTTCCAAAGGTTATGGATGAAAACGTTTCTACATGTATTATCGAAAGTTTTTTTATTATTATTATTGTTAAGCACAAAACTACACAATTGGCTATCTGTGCTCTGCCTTTTCGTATATCGAAAACCGATTCTTAGTGTTATAAGCATATCATAGAATAACATTTCCGAAGAAACAAATTTCACTATCAGAGACAGCTACAGGAAGTGAAGAAAGAGTCCGTTATAATTATTTTCTATTCAAGTATCCAGGAAATATGCCTTAACATCCAATAATTTACATACAGTTTTAGATAATATGCCCCACTGAAAACGGAAGACATATTATTAAAATTTCTCCCCATCTCTCTCTCTTACCTTGACAGTACTCAATCTTCCCCACTTTCCCGAGAGCATAAGAATGGAGAGTAACAAAGTTATCTCGGCACAAACAGGAGTATCCTATGGTTCCGTTATGTTTAACACACTTTGTATAGCTGGAACAATATTTTACTGGGTTCAAACACTGGTTTATTGGTTCTATCGTACCTAAAGGAACAAATAGAAAGTTCTACTTTAATAAATGGTCAACATTATCTACCTAAAGAGGTTAAAAATCACAAGCTACTAATTTATTCTGTCTTAGAGCCATACTTTAAACCATGTACAATAAGTACACTTAATATAGTATGGTTTATGTCTAATGTCTACTAAGTGACTTTAGTGGCGCACAAAAAACATCTGAAGACATGTTTATGGTTTTAAATATGAAGTTATGTAAAGTGGAAATAAATGTTGTTACGATTCTGTTTAAAACTTTGAGATACTGAGTTGGCATAAGAATGAAGTTCTAAAAGAAGGTAATTCAAATCAATGATGGATTACTAGTTCGTGTAGATTTATACCAGGTAAGTAGAAAACACGAGATACTTAAAATGGATCATTTCGTATAAAACGGTCAATGTTGGTGTACTTAGTTGAAAAGGATTTCCCATAACTTAGTATAAAACTGGACGATGTTGGTTTTTACTTAATAAAACAATGTAAAATGATAAAAATACTTTTATGATTATTACGTTTGTCACTACAACCTCTCTAGCTAAATCCTGTAAATATTTACTTATTTTCTTTCATCTTCTTCCTGTTTACAACAAGGCCAGGCAGTATGATGTACTAATTCGATGTTTTAGAATATTTACTTACTTTCTTTCATCTTCTTCCTGTTTACAACAAGGCCAGGCAGTATGATGTACTAATCTTTTAGTTTTAGAATATTTACTTACTTTTTTTCAACTTCTTCCTGTTTACAACAAGGCCAGGCAGTATGATGTACTAATCCGATGTTTTAGAATATTTACTTACTTTCTTTCAACTTCTTCCAGTTTATAACAAGGCCAGACAGTATGATGCACTAATCTTTTAGTTTTAGAATTACTTACTTTCTTTCAACTTCTTCCAGTTTAGAACAAAGCCAGACAGTATAATGTACTAATCCGATGTTTTAGAATCTTTACTTACTTTCTTTCAACTTCTTCCAGTTTATAACAAGGCCAGACAGTATGATGCACTAATCTTTTAGTTTTAGAATCTTTACTTACTTCCTTTCAACTTCTTCCTGTTTACAACAAGGCTAGGCAGTATGACACAGTAATCCGATGTTTCAGAATCGTTATTTGGAGATGATTGAATTCCTACACAGATATTATTAGACGTAATCCGATTTAAAGACTCTTCTTCTTCATGAAACTGGAGAGAGAGAGAGCAGTGCACTTCGCTGTCTGTGTAATATACGTCTGTGATGACTGTGCTGAGGAAGTTTTTGCCGTACTGAATGTTCATCTGTATACAACAAAAATACTAACACATGAGATGTTGATATCCTGAAGATCATAAACCTTCTCAAACATGGATGTTTTATCAACATATATTAATTAATGTTTAATAAACATACACATAACTTATATAGATATAAGATTAGAGGAATATTTTGATAACATTCCTAGTAAAAATGATTTTTCAATGTGGGAAAAGTGATTATAGGATTCCATAAGTTAGAAACACTGAAGTGAACGTGATTTATAACAGCGAATAAAATATTACCAATATGCAAATATTACAGTTCGGACCTGCCATGGCCTTTTCGTTAGGGTGCTCTACTCGCAATTTGAGGGTCGATGGTTCAAATTCGCACCACAGAACATGTTTGCCCTTTTAATCGTGGGGGCGTTATGAGTTTGAGCATTAGCTCAAGGCGTGAGAGAAAAACATTTGAAGATATAAGTAAACTGGGAAGTGATAATAATAGATACTTTACACAATGAATCAAACGCAAACTGACCTGTGAGAACTAAGTAGCCACCAAACTTATAAAAATATGTTTCTTCAGTCGATGTTTCAATATATGTGAAGAATGCAGAAAATATTAAGTATTTATTGGCTAATGAAACGATTGGTACGTACTATGCTTTAATTAAATTAATAAGCGAATAAAAAATTAAAATCAAAACAGAATACTTCTGAGAATACCCATTGTCGGTAGAGTTACTTAATGTATATTGTTACGTCTCTAGTCGTTTGTTAATTTTCCGTAAAAATTATTTCCGAAGACACTTCAGCGATACAAGTCCTTTCTTAAATAAAACTAGTTTATTTTTCCCTGGATACAACTTTGCAATACACTTAATTTCCACAGTCACTTTAAACACACGCTATAATTCACAATGATTCACGCACTTACTTACGGTCACTACTGCGCTTGACTCAATTGTCCGTCTTTATCTCTGCCTGCCTGCAATTCAATTCCGATTAATTTGTCTCACGTTATCCGGCGCACTTATATACAGGAATAGAGGGCGCCTAGCACATACAGGATTATTCGTGATGATCCTCGATTCTTCTAGAATATCAT